TGAGATTTTTTATTTCTTCCTCTGTGGGTTTTGGCAGATGGTGTCTCCCAGGGACTTGGTTCATTTCACCTAGTTTATCAAATTTGTGGGCATAGTGTTGTTCATAGTATTCTTTTATTATCCTTTTAATTCCCACGGGATCTGTAGTGATATCCCCTCTGTCATTTCTGATATTAGTAATTTGTGTCCTCTCTTTTTTTCTTAGTTAGCCTGGCCTAGGGGCTTACTGATTTTATTGATCTTTTCAAAGAACCAGCTTTTGGTTATGTTGATTTTTCTCTATTGATTTCCTATTTTCAATTTCATTGATCTGCTCTAATTCTTAGTATTTCTTTTCTTCTGCTTACTTTGGATTTAATTTGCTCTTCTTTTTCTAGTTTCCTAATGTGGAAACTAAGATTATTGATTTTAGATCTTTATTCTTTTCTAACATATGCATTTAATGCTCTAAGTTTCCCTCTAAGCACTGCTTTTGCTGCATCCCACAATTACGATAGTGTTTTCATTTTCATTTAGTTCAAAATATTTTTAATTTCTCTTGATTTCTTCTTAGACTTATGTGTTATTTAGAAGTGTGTTGTTTAATCTCCAAATGTTTTGAGGCTTAACAGCTATCTTTCTGTTATTCATTTACTAGTTTAATTCCATTGTGATCTGAGAGCATACTTTGTATGGTTTCTTTTTTTTGAATTTGGTGAAGATGTGTTTTATGGCCCAGAATGTGGTGTGTCTTGCTGAATGTTCCATTTGAGCTTGAAAAGAATGTATATTCTGCTATTGTTAGATGAAGTATTTTATAAATGTCCATTAGATCCAATTGATTGGTGCTGTTCGGTGCAACTATGCCCTTACCAATTTTCTGCCTTTTGGATCTGTCAATTACTGATAAAGGGAAGTAGAAATCTCCAACTATAATAGTGAATTCATCTATTTTCCTTCTTTGCAGTTCTGTCAATTTTTGCCTCATTGTTTTGATGCTCTGTTATTAGGCACACACACGTTAAGGATTGTTATGTCTTCCTGGAGAACTAACCCCTGTATCATCATCATGTAATGCCCATTTTTATCCCTGATAATTTTCCTTGCTCTGAAGTGTGCTCTGTCGGAAATTAATATAACTACTCCAGCTTTCTGTTGATTACTAGTAGCATGGCATATCTTTCTCCATCCCTTTACTTTTAATCTATCTATGTCTTTATATTTAAGGTGTTTCTTGTAGGCAACATATAATTGGGTCCTGTATTTTTATCTACTGTGACAGTCTCTATTTTCATTTGTATATTTAGTCTATTGTTATTTAAAATGATTGCTGATATAGTTGGATTAATATTTACTATATTTGTTACTGTTTTCTATTCATTGCCCTTGTTCTTTCCTTTTTGTCTTCCACTCTCTTTCTGTCTTCTCTTGTTTTATTTGAGCATTTATGTGATTCCATTCTCTGTCGTCTCTCAACATGTTAATAATACTTTTTTAACTTTTTTTTAGTGGTTGCTCTAGAGTTTGCAATATACATTTAAACTAATCCCAAGTCCACCTTCAAATAACACTGTACCACTTCACAGGTAGCACAAGTACCTTATAACAGAATACTACCAATGTCTCCCTTCTGCCTCTTACAACATTACTGTCAGTCATTTCACTTTTCCATAAGCTATACTTACTGAATACATTGTTGCTGTTATTATTTTGAGCAAACTATTATCTGTTAGACCAATTAGGAATAAGAAAAATAAAAGATTTTATTTTATCTTCATTTATTCCTTTTCCTACATTCTTCTGATCTGAGTTCTGACCTATATCATCTTCCTTCTCTCTAAAGTACTTTTAACATTTCTTGCAAGGCAGGTCTGCTGTTGACAGATTCCCTTAATTCTTGTTTGTCTAAGATAGTCCTTATTTCTCCCTCACTTTTGAAGGGATAATTTCACTGGATACAGAATTCTTTTTGGTGGTTTTTTTCTTTTGACACTTGATTTTACTCTACTCTCTTTTTGCCTGTGTGATTTCCAAAGAGAAGTCAATGTAATTCTTATCTTTGCTCCTCTCTAAGAAAGGTGGTTTTATTCCTCTGGCTTCTTTCAGTATTTTCTTCTTGCCTGATTTTCTGCAATTTGAATATGACATGCCGAGGTGTAGATTTTTTGGTATTTATCTTGCTTGGTGTTCTCTGAGCTGGATCTGTGATTTAGTGTCTGTAATTAAATTTGGAAAATTCTCAGCCATTATTACTCCAAATATTTCTTCTGTTCTTTTCTCTTTTTCTTCTTCCTTCTAATATTCTCATTACACATATGATACACCATTTGAAATTGTCCGAAGTTCCTGAATATTCTGTCCTTTTTCATTTTCTTTTTCTCTTTGCATTTCAGTTTTGGAAATTTCTATTGGCATATCTTCAAACTCAAATTCTTTACCTGGCCATGTACAGCCTATTGATGAGGCCATCAAAGACTTCCCTCATCTCTGTTACAGTGGCTTTTATTTCTAGCATTTCTTTTTGATTCTTTCTCAGTTTCCATCTTTCTGCTTACATTACCCATCTATTCTTGCATGTTGTCTACTTTTTCCATTAGAGCCCTTAGCATATTAATCATAATATTTTTAAAATTCCTGGTCTGGTAATTCCAAAATCTTTGCCATATCTGTGCCTGGTTCTGCTGCTTGCTCTGTCTCTTCTGTGTTTTTGTCTTTTAGTCTGCCTTATAATTTTTGTTAGAAGCCAGACCTGATATACTGGGTAAAAGGAACGGAGATAAATAGGCCTTTGGTGTAAGATTTATGCTTATCTGGCTGGGAATTAGGCTGTGTTTACTGTTTACTGTCACTGTAGGTATCAGAGGCTAAAATTTCCCTTTGTGTCCTTATTTCTGTCTCCTCTGTTGTCTTTGGGTTTCCCTGGAGACTTGTTCTTAATTAAGGTCTGAGACGTCAGTTCATTCTCTTGTAATGCCCGCAGTACTGGCTCCCGTGGTGGTTTCTGCTCTGGCAAGCTCTTATTCTCTGTATCTACCTGTCTGTCTCCTCAGTTTTGGGGGCAGCAGTTTGCCCTGTGACCCCAGTTCTCTAATGGATCTAAGAAGAGTTGTTGATTTTCAGTTTGTTCACCTTTTTCTTATTGAGAGGGTTGGAGTGATGACTTCTAAGCCCCTTATATGCCAGACTAGAAACCAGATGTCTACTTTTTTATATTTGGTTTTGAACATGTGAATTCTTTTTTTAAAGAATTAATTTAAAAATCTATTACAACTTCACCTCTGTGGTCTTTCTCCCAAAACCAATAACCCAAGTGTTGTTTGAAAAATATCAAGACAAATTCAATTTGAGGGCCCTTCTCACACTTACCTGACAAGTAAGTTCTCCTTGGAACTCTCACAGTCATCAAAAAACAAAAAGTGAGAGACTGTCACAGCCTCGTGGAGGCTAAGGAGACCTGATGAGTGTGTCTTGGAACATTAGGGGAAAACAAGTGAAATCAGAATAAAATGTGGAGTTGAGTTAATGGTAACATACCAATGTTGGTTCTTTACTTGTGACAAGTATACCATGGTTATGTAAAAGTTAACAATAGGGGAAACTGGATGCAGAGCCTACAGAAACTACTATCTTTACAACTTTTCTGTAAATTGAAAACTATTCTAAAATAAAAGATTTTCTTCAAAAAAAAAAAACCTTTTAATTTTCTATTAGAAATATTGCCCTTTTATTAGGGTGTAAAACACTTGCATTTTTCAAATGCATGTTAGAGCTCTGTGTAGCCCTAGACAGAGGATTTTTGTGTGTTCTTTCTCACGTCACGACAGTCTTGCCCAGTCGGCAGCACCGAGATGGCCCCTTCAAATATGAGGACGTTGGTGACGAGAGGACCACTGCCCCAGGTCCTGCCACTAGGGGGCGCCCAGCAGCGTTGCTTTTGCTCCTCCCTCACGTCGTTTAAAAGGGGGCTATTTTGTGGCAGGTGTTGAACGTTTATCTAAGACTGGAAAAACACTCCCTAGGGGAGCTATGTCCATTTTTATTTATTAAAGCACTTCAGGCACCAAGAAAATTTGACAGATACTTCATTTTGATAAAGTCTGTAATGTTTTGAGCCTTTTTTTTTTCATTTTGACATCTCTCTCTTCTAAGGTTCTTTGCTGGTCTATGTCGATCACCTTCTTGGAGAAGGGGCTTTTGCCCAAGTCTATGAAGTTACCCATGGAGATGTGAATGACACCAAAAATAAACAGAAGTTTGTTTTAAAGGTAAAGGATCTGGGCGATTTTTTGCATAGTATGGAAATGAATTTTAGAACTTGAGTTTGTCGGCCTCTTTTTTTCTTTTTCAAGACAGTGGTGGTTTCATTTATTTTTACTGTCAGCAATTAAGAAACAAAACTAGGGGCCGGCCCCGTGGCGTAGTGATTAAGTGTGCGTGCTCTGCCACTGGCGGCCCAGGTTCAGATCCTGGGCGTGCACTGATGCACCGCTTGTCAGGCCATGCTGTGGCGGCGTCCCATATAAAGTAGAGGAAGATGGGCACAGATGTTAGCCCAGGGCCAATCTTCCTCAGCAAAAAAAGGAGGATTGGCATGGATGTTAGCTCAGGGCTGATCTTCCTCACAAAAAAAAAAAAAAGAAACAAAACTATCCTACAAGCGTTCAGAATTGCCTTGGCACTGAAATTATCTTGCAGCAAGACCCTTATTTCAGCAACTATTCATAGCTTGTCATTGCTTTCTACCCCTCGTCCTTCACTGGGATGCAAGTTGCTTTCTTGCTATATTTTCCAGACTGTGAGACTAGATATGAATGTCACATATGATTTGCAGGTCCAGAAGCCTGCCAATCCCTGGGAGTTCTACATTGGGACCCAACTGATGGAGAGACTAAAGCCAAGTGTGCAACATATGTTCATCAAATTTTATTCAGCCCACTTTTTCCAGAATGGCAGTGTATTGGTAGGAGATCTCTACAGCTATGGAACATTACTAGTAAGTGTATTCATTGTTACGTTGTAAACATGAATCTGAAATATATTTTGGCTTGTGCCTTGCACAAACCTTTTGTAGTTGGAGCTTTTATTGGAGTGGTAGGCAAGGGTAAAGCTCTTGACTTGAAATTTCATTAATCCTGAGCAGCCAACTCAGGATTCCACTTTCTGTTTTTTCTAGAATGCCATTAATCTCTATAAAAATACCCCTGAAAAGGTGATGCCTCAGGCTCTAGTTCTCTCTTTTGCTATCACAATGCTCCACATGATGGAACAAGTCCATGGTTGCGAGATCGTTCACGGAGACATCAAGCCAGACAACTTCATACTTGGAAACAGGCAAGTGTTGCACTTTTAGTGGGGTTCTTCTCTCACCGTTTCCCCAGAAGCCTCTTATTATTTGTGCTCATGCACCTGGCCCTTGTTTGTGTTTAGATTTTTGGAACAGGACAGCGAAGATGATGATTTATTTGCTGGCTTGGCACTGATTGACCTGGGTCAGAGTATAGATATGAAACTTTTTCCAAAAGGAACTGTATTTACAGCAAAGTGTGAAACATCTGGTTTTCAGTGTATTGAGATGCTCAGCAACAAACCGTGGAACTACCAGGTATAGAACTAAAGTGAGAGTTTGAAAATATTTTCCTTTATTACACTTACTGTGTTTTCAAAATGGATTTGGGGATCTAGTTCGTTTGAGCTGGTCTGGTCTTCTCTCCGTGGATTTAGACCCTGCTCGAGTGTTGTTTCCAGTTACGAACACATCACACAAAGAGGCTTCAGCGTGCAGTTAGGGAACAACAACCGGGGTCCCAGGGGGAGGGGTCAGGAGGACGTCCCGGCTGTCCATGTGCAAGAGGGATTCGAGTGTCGCGTTTGCCCGTGTGTGACAAAACGAAGGACTGGAGAAGGACACTGGAGCTCAAGGAGAAGAGAGCTTTCCAAGGGGCTGCCCCAGGAGGTGGTGCGTGCTCTGCAGTCCAGGGAGGCCTCCAGCGAAGCCTAGACAGGCACTCAGTGTGGCATTTCAGTGGGAGGGCTGAGCAGATGGCTTCCAAAATTCTTTAACAGTAAAATCCTGTGATTGTTTAGCTTGCTGCGTAAGTTAGACATTTTAATACCCTCCTGTGTAAATTGGTATTTTAGTTATATATACCTATATTTTCTTTGTAGATTGATTACTTTGGAGTTGCTGCAACAGTGTACTGCATGCTTTTTGGCACTTACATGAAAGTGAAAAATGAAGGAGGAGTCTGGAAGCCTGAAGGTCTTTTTAGAAGGTGAGTATTAGCATTGGTGCTACAGTGAAAAGAGAATAAATGTAGTAAAATGTTGGGTTCCATCTGGTGGAAAATGGATCTCTGCCACTGCATGGAAAACCCATGCCATGGGAAGCAGGGTGAGCTAGCACAATCCTGGACACTGGGCACAGTGAGCAGGTCACAGAGCTTCACTACATCTGTGACCCCATACGTGACAGTGGGGCAGCCTGCACCCTCCTAGAACCATTGAAAGCTCCTGGCCGAGTGGCCGGCAGTCTGTACACACACGTTTCTCTTCCCCTTCTAGAGAAATCATCTGGTGTCACTAAGCCTTGGGTTTGTTTTCTTGCCTGTGTAAATGGGCGTAATACTGACTCTACTATCCTCAGATGTTTCTTATAAGCAGCAAAGGAAACAACGTATGTGAAAGTGTTTTGTAATGATAAAGTGACGAGGAGGCAGCTATCACAGGGTAGGGTTTGAAGTGCCATCCCTCTGTAACTTTGGATTTTCTGAGACTGTTTTCACATCTATAAAATCATAGTGAAAATTAATGACTAGACTAGAACTCTTCCCATCAACACGGATGGCTCTCTTAATGTAATGTCGTGTGAATAAACTCTTGGTAACGTTTAAGCTGAGTATGTGGTATGTGCATGTTCATGATATCATTTATACTTTTTCTTTGAGGTATAAAAACATTTGCAGAAAAGTACACTCATCTTAAGTGTACAGCCTAATGGGTTTTTACGTGTTTATACCTTCTTTAAAAAATTTAAGCTGGGACTCCCCTCGCCCTCACATACACACCCAAACACCCCAAGCAAAAAAAAGGACACTTGGCAGTAATGTGTAAAGTGTAGTATCTGTACGTAAGTAAGGTTAGATTCAGGCCCTAGCGGAAAACTTACAGCAACTATGGTTTATTCTGCATAATGAGTCGTCAAATTTAGCAGATACTTTATTCCTTCTCTTTCTCATAATCAAAGGACCAGAGAGTTATCAGAAGGCGTCCATCTCTGACCACCAGTGTAGAAAAAAGCCTTAAGTTAGCCCTCAGCAGGCCTGATGATAATGGGCTGAATTTTCTGTCGGGAACACAAATTTAGTTATGTTCTGCTTTTTCCCCAACGCCGTACTTCCATGTTGGGGTTTTTGCAGTTAACTTGAACGATCACAGTAGTTGGAACTCTGAATCTGAGCTCTATTCTGGGTGGTCTAGCCTGTCTACCTGGTCCTGGTGCATATGCAGTTGGGCTCGTCAGAGCCGTTTGGCCGTTATCAGAGTATGGTATATATAGCTAGCCTAAAGCAGTCGATTTTCTTTAAAAAAAAATTAAAAGAAAGTTTTTCCACTGAAGACCTATTATTAAATTAACACTACTTACCTTAAATCACTTTTTTGGAACAAAGTCTATATAGACATTTAATTGGATCTTTAATTTCTCTTATAATAGATTCAGCATTTCAATTCTTGATGCATTAAGTTGCATTTAGGTGAAAGTTGTTATATGCAGCTGCCCAAGGCTGTGGAAAGCAGATGCAGGAGTGGGGTTGCCCTGCATGTTGGATGCTACATTTGATCTTTTATTTATGCTTTGTCTCTTCAGGCTTCCTCATTTGGATACGTGGAATGAATTCTTTCACATCATGTTGAATATACCAGACTGTCATCATCTCCCATCTTTGGATTTGTTAAGGCAAAAGCTGAAGAATATATTTCAACAACACTATACACACAAGATTAAGACTCTACGTAACAGGCTAATTGTACTGCTCTTAGAGTATAAGCGTTCTCGAAAATAAAATATGGACACTCCCTAAAAATCAGTTTATAAATGTTCTCCTGCTCACTTTGAATCTTGATGTTTCTGCATTTATTGTTTGTGTAAATGTTTGTTAAAAGTAAAGTCTACAAAATATATCCATGTGACTTAGTCATTATAAATATTTCAACAAAAGGTACAACACAGGAAGGTCCCTGCATAGCAGGCTGATTGGGCTGCTGTTGGGATACCAGCATTCACAAGAATAATTCATGTGAACATTCTCTAAAATGACTTGTTAAATACTGACCTGTTCACTTTAAGCCAAAAAAGGGTCACGACTGTTTTTTTCCAATTTTGAGGCTTTATATTTGTGTGAAGTAAATAAAAATTTCCCAAATATATCCAAGGAACTTAAGTTTATATGAATAAACCTTGCCTGTCCCTTTATTGTACCTGTTCTCCATTGCTATCCGTGGGAAATATTACAGGTATGAATCTTAAGATTTTTATTTATTTATTTTTTTGGTGAGGAAGATCAGCCCTGAGCTAATGTCCATTGACAATCCTCCTCTTTTTGCTGGGGAAGATTGGCCCTAGGCTAACCTCCATGCCCATCTTCCTCTACTTTATATGGGACATGCCACAGCATGGCTTGACAAGTGGTGGGTGTGTCCACGCCCGGGATCTCAGGCCAGCCCAAAGCTTCTTTATTTTTTAAAAGTAGCATTCAAAGAATATCTCAGATCTTGAAAATAGTTTTATAAGCTATAAAAAATCATTAATTAGCTCTAAAATTATAGCAGCCAACTTAGCATTTGACTTTTAAAGCTAGATGAGTCCTATAGCTTTAAAACTCTGACCTGATCTTCCTGCCTCTGTCCCTCCCTCTTAGCATTACAATGAAAATAGATCTGAGGCGACACCCAATTCAGGAAAACAGAGTGAACTGCTTCCTTCTGCCTTCATTCCCAGCTGCTAGGTTCCCCATTCCAGGGGCAACCATGACCCAAATCTTTCTGTCTTTCCAAAAATGATTCCATGCATATTTCTATATATTATATTTTTTATACAACTAGCTTTTTTTCCACTTAATGTATAGCGGAGAATGTAACTACTTATAGAATGGTCTCATTCTTGTGTATGGCTGTCTAATATTTGGTTATATGCTGTATCTGGATTATAAATTCCTAGAAGTGAAATTGCTGGGTCAAAGGTGAGTGCACTTAAGATTCTGTATCAATATTTGCACGGAGCCCCCATCGGGGCTGTGCCAGCCTGTACCACAGTCTCTGCTGCCCACACCTCCACCCACAGGACAAGTCAGTCTCTGACCCCTGCCACTCGGACATGGAAAATGGTAGCTCTTTCCAGTTTTCATTTGCATCCTCTTCTGAATTAGGTGAAATATATTCAAGAGCTATGTGTTTTTTCTTTTTCTGTGAACTCTATCTTTTGTCCACTTTTCATTTCAATTGTTCCTTTTCAGGTTAACTTGTAGGTGCCCTTTGTATATGAGGCACAAATATTTGTCCCAATTTGTCATTTTGTCTCTTGAATTCTTAAGATTTCTGTTGCCATGAAGAATCTTTTAAAATTTTGTTTTGTACTCTGATTATAAAGTTTGAAATGGCATTTTTGGCTTTTGTATCTTAAAATGCCATCCTCAATTGAGAAATAAAAAGAAAAAAGTGCTCTAATTTTTTAATATTAGTACTAATTTAAATACTTAGGGCTAAACTTTTGGTTGCTGTTTTAAATCATCTAATTTTTTCCTATTTTTTCTAGCTGGTAGTTTGAACATATGAAGCCTATTGATTTCTAGAAAACGCTTTTTTGATTCTTCTGAAGTTTCCAACTAAATAACCATCACTATGAAAATAATGCTTATTTTCTGTCTTTCCCAATTTGCTTTTTTTTTTGCAGGGAAAGATTCACCCTAAGCTATCATCTGTTGCCAATCCTTTTTTTCCCCCTCCCCAAAGCCCCAGTACATGGTGTATATGCTAGTTGTAAGTTGTTGTCGTTCCCAATTTTTTGCTGGTGATTCTTCTCTTGCCTTGCCATTGCCTGTGACCTTGAGAAGAGAGCTAAGCAGTGGTGGTGCTGGACCTCCCTCTTCTGCTTTAGTCGGGGCTCTTCTGATGTTTATCCTGTAAGTTCAGGGATGCTGGCCTGAGGGAGGCATTTTTAATCGTGTTGAAGTATCCATCTATTTCTTTTTGCAAACATGAATTATAACTATTTTAGTTTTCTTGCTCATCTCTCCATCCATATTGGCCCAGCTCTATGCCGTTCCCCTACATGAATGTACTATAATTTACTTAACCAATCCTCTATTTAGAAACACTTAATTGGTTTCCCAAGTTTATTGCTACAAAAAAGGGAGTGTATGTGCAAATGTGTCTGCAGGATAAATTAATAGAATGGGATTCCAAAATATGTTATTTTGAAAATAAAGTAACTTACTTGATTGTAGGTTGTAACCTACATGATTGATTACACACATACTCAACTTGGAAGGAAGTTGGAAATGATCCAGGGTCAGACCTCATCAGACAACCCAACAATAAATTTACTCTTAAAGTATGGAAACAACTGAGCACTAATAAACCCAGATTTGTGGGGTATTTTTCCCTGTTTTCAAAGGAAACCAAGACTAAAGAAGATAAGGGTACTGTTTTACTAAAACTGAGAGCTGAGTGTGTCCATCTGTGAAAAGCAACTGTGGGGGCCTTCAGTCTTGGCAGGGAGGACACTTGGCTTTGGCTTCCAGCCCCTGTTAACGTCCTGTGTCCCCACTATTTGCTATTACTGGATCTTCAACATATCACACTCCAACACTCCAATAACTCCTCCGCGTTATTCACACCAACAACCTCAGCCTGACCACAGTGTCATCTCAGCACTGCTGCTGCCCATCTGGTGTCCCATCTGTGCCAAGGGCTCCACTTAAATAAAACTTCTCAGTCTGATTCCCTAGCAACAGCCCTGTCCCCAGGGAGGAAGGCTTGATCCAAACAAAGTAAGTTACTTTAAGCACTTCAGCCAAGTCATCTTTTTTTGTTGTTGTCCATTGCCTGGTACAAACTATAGCGATCATCTTCTAATCATAAATTAGTTGTCTGGATTACACACACACACACACACACAATTTATCTGCACAAGGAAAAAAGCTCTCTGTCTAAAGGGCAACTGAAGTGGATGCTCAGTGCTGGGAGGGCAAAGAAACTTCCAGCTCACTCCACTGAGGAGGCTGAAGTTTCCCCGAGGACATAGCTGGGTCTCCTTCATCTTGTGTCTCTTGAGCTAAGCAGGGCTCAGCTCATCCTAAGTGGTCAAACATTGGCTAGACTCAGCCTAGGTTCAGATCTAGTACCTTCCTCAAGTCAAGGCATTTCCCATTCATTCTCAGCCCCCTGCTCCACATTCTAAGTTCTAGCTAAGAGTAAGAACCTTTACTCAGGAGATTCAGAGACTCCTGTTACCAGCGTCTTTTCCCCTTGGATTGTATCTGTAGTCTAAGGCAAAGATTCTAAAACTTATTTTTCCCTAAGACATACCTAAGAAACCAGAAGTGTGGCCTGTGCCTATCAGAAATAAGGGATCCTCGAGAGTTGGGCATTTGGCACAATATATAAATAACACCTGCAAAAGTATTACTCCACACCTTTCTCTGCCAGTGATCCTCAGAGTCATCGTGCTTGGTCTTCATTTCTTTCATCCCTCCAGTCACTCCATCTGTCCCATTGGTTCCATTCTGGATTGGTTAGGCTCTAGGCAGGCTAAGGTGCTGTAACAGAGAACGCCCACACCGTAGCTTAGAGAAGACAGAAGTGATTTCAATCTCCTGTTGTGGTCTGGGGGTGAGCGATCCCGTGCTGGCACCGACTCTGCCATCCTCCACGGAAGGCTTCCAAGATGTTAGGATTGTTGCCATTTCCCAGGCGGTGAGAAGTGGAGGCAGAGGGGGAGAGAGTTCCCAAGACCTGTGCGGTGCAGACCCCAGTTGGGCTCACAGCCCACAGGCCAAATACAATCATGCTGCCCCCTCCCACTGCAGGGAGACTGAGGAATGAAGCGCCCAGCTGGGAGCCCATGTGCCAAACACGGGGGTGCCTACTCACTGACAGGCAGAAGAAAGCCCTGGAGAAAGGTGGCAATCCCTGCCACAACTCCCCGCTGTCCCCCTTCCTCCCAGACTGTGCCGTGGCTGGGGTGGTGGGGCCCCCTGGTGGCCACAGGGCTCTGCAAGTCAGCAGTAATTGGATCCAGGGAGCCTGATTCCGAGACTTTCCTACTGAAGGGCTCACACCCTAAAAAAATCACATGACAATGTTTACTCCATTATTGTTTACTGTTGAACACGCAGAATAATCCATGACTAGATGAATTCTTCAATAAAGAATGAAACATTGATGGCATGGAACACTCGGCAGCATTTTCTTTGTGTGTGTGTGTATGTGTGTGTGTGTGTGTGTATATCTTGCTCACCACGAAACAACTGCTGGTCAGTGAAAAAAGCAGGTTCTTGAACAATGTATACGAAAAATGTCATAATATCCCACTTAGGATAAAAAATGCAATTATATCATATATTAATATGCATAATATACATGACTGTGAATGGGTAGATTTAGTTCCAGAAGGATAAACAATAAACTCAGCATTCCCACTGAAAAAGGCATGTCAGGCTGTGAGTAGATGAATGAAGGGGGGTGGGGTGAGGAGAAGGAAGAATAAAGAGCAACTTTGACTTTTTACTATATTTCTGTACTGAATTTTTTACAATGACTGCATAGTGTCTAATTAAAACATAAATGCCCTGTACATTTTCAAATTTAAAAAATTAAGTTGCCACTCAGTAGGTTCAGTATAATACTTTACATAATAATAAATGTTTGATATATAAAGAGATAAGAGAGGTCTGGAAGGATGGCATGACTCCACAAATCCCATCAGATGAGTCAGCAAGGCCCCGCCTCCTGGGAATGTCGAGGTGATGGAATTCTAAAGCATCAGCGCCAAACCCCAGGCGTGGTTTTAAACCAGGAAGAGCAAGCTGTGTGAGAGCAAATGCTGAAACCCCACTGAGCCAGCATTCCACCAACCCTCTTCCTCTTTCAGTCCCCACAGTCTCGGGAGGGAGGTACCATTTGTCCCAATTTGCAGGGGA